GAAAAAAAAAAGGTAAAGATTGTTTATATTTGATTAAAATATAACAACATATGTATTTATTTAGTATTATATTTTCTAATTTGCAAATATGTAGAAATATTCCTCAACTAAAGCAATCAATAATACCAGACAGAGTTCTATGTTACACAAGAGAAATGATACTTAAAATTTGGTTTATTTCATGGAATAATTATGAGTAATGAAATTTCTTTTGGTAGATTTGCATTATCAAATTACAAGTGCTAGAGAATAGTTGCCTTCTCTATGACTTCTTGAGTGTACTCTGTACCTCTCTGTTCCTCAAGCTGTAGATCAGAGGGTTTAACATGGGGATGATTGGGTGATCACAGCGTGGAACAAAGATGTGATTTTTCTCTGTGTCCATAAGGTAAAAGGAGCTGGGCTGCAAGTACATGGTACTGACAGGCCCATAGAGTAGGAAAACTGAGTGAGATAAGAAGCACAGGTGGACAAAGCCTTCTGGTGTCCCTCACCCAAGTGCATCTTCAAAATGGCGATAAACACGAGCAAGTAGGAAGTCAAGATAGTAAGAAGGGTGATATGACATTGCAGTTTGATGCAAGAATCAGAATCAGCTCACTACTGTGTTTATCAGAACAAGCCAGAATCATGACTGCAGGAATAGCAGAGAAAAAGTGATGGACCACATCGGTCATGCAGAAAGAGAGGTAGAATGTGTCTCCAATTTACACAGAAGCTCTCAGAAAACCAATGTGCTAGCAGCCCATGGCCAGAAAAGAACACATATTTTTGTCATGATGGTGGATTAATAGAGGGGCTTACAGACTGTTGCATAGTGGTCATAGGCCATTAGAGACAAGAATTAGCATTCCATAGTGCCAAAGGTTGCAAAAAAGAAAATCTAAGCAGCACAGGCATTGTAGGAAATGACCCTGTCTTTCACAAGCCAGCCAGGTTCAGCTGTTTGGAGTGACTGCTGAGGAAGAACAGAAGTTCACCAGAAAGAAGTTACTGAGGAAAATGCACATGGGAGTGTGGAGACGAGAGTCTAGGAGAATCAACACGATTATTCCTAGGTTCCCAGCCAGTGTGAACACTATAAAGAGGGGATATTCAGAGTTCTGGGACTTTGGCTGGTCCCAATAGTGTAAATTTAGTCACCTTTGTAATATTCTCCATAGATGATATTTTGTAACCACAGATGCTCTGTAGTGAATACAGACAACAGAAAACATGATGAAACAAAGTGATCTGTACAGAAATTAAAATAACAAGCTTCATCTTAACAATATTTCAGTGTTTTTCAGATATAAAACATAGGTATGATTACAAAATTTAGAGGACATCTGTACAGTAGTATACTTTTTTTGGTCTTTTTAGGACAGGGTCTTACTGTAGCCCCAGCTGGCCTGGAACTCAGTATGTGGATATGACTGGACTCGATCTCAAAGAGATCCCCCTGCCTCTGCCTCCCAAGGGCTGGGATTAAAGGTGTATGACACCATGCATTTTTATCATGATTTGTTTTGAGACAGAGTCTCATGTATAATCCAAGATAGACTTGAATTCACAATCCTTCTGCTTCTGCCTTCAGAGTACTGTGATTGCTGACATACAACATACCTAGCTAATAATATAATTTTGAATAGTAGAGGCCTTTGAGAGTTGACTTCTAGTCATTAATTTCATGCATGAGTGAACTAGTTGCAAAAAGGCACAGTGAACTCCAGGTTATATTACTGGAATGAAATATCTCCCACATAAGATCTTCTGATATATAAGTAGTTGTCATTTGTCAGGTTTTATATCTCTAAAGTCTTTTAAACCTCTCAGCTACCACATTAGTTTTATTTATTATGCCCATTTATATACAAAGCAAGTTGTTAACATAAGATCGAATGATTCAAGGGTACACATGCATCAGAAAACAGAGAATCAAACATAAAACCTAATAGAAGTAGTTCCCAATTTAAACAATGTTACTTAATTTGAATGCATCTTAATTTTATTTAATTTACATTTGATCATGATCTGCAGTGCAGCATGCTTCATGCATGGAGCTGACTAGAAGAAAAAATGGGTAAATGCAGTTGAAGAGTCAGATAGAACCATCAAAGCCAGTTCTAAAAAGAAGATACAGCAGTGGTATAAAATTTAGAGCTCTGTGAAGGGGTGACTTTGCATTAATGTGTAATCCATACTATTTACTAGTTGGAAGACATCGATCTAAACTAATTTCACTGAATTTCACTTATATATCAGTAAGATAAAACTTGGTCTTTTGTACTAACATCAAATAATTGAGGCTGTAATGATATAATACATGAAAAAGAGATGGGTGAGTGAGGAAAGTGCTCACCACACAAGATGACCTGAGATCAGATCTCCAGATCGTACACAAAAGCTGGACACAGGACCACAAGCATCTGCCATCCTAGCGTGTCCCTGTGAGGAGATGGGAGATGAGACAGAAGGTGCAGGAACTTGCAGGCCAGTCAGCCTGGCTTAGGCAGCAATGAAGACACCTTGTTATAAGCAAGGTGGGAAGGCCATACCATCCCCAGAAGATTGAAATCTCACCTCCCCATGGCCATGCACCATACCAAGCAGGTACCCACACCCCCACCCCAACATGTACCCCACACTACACACAATTCTATTCTAAATATAATTTAGACTCATCATTTGGTGAATGAAATATGGTAGAATCCGAAAGAAAATAATATTGTTTTCTAGCATATGTAGATTCTAAAAATTGATCAGAATGTATCACAGTGACAACTAGTGGCTGAGAAAGAAGTGCAGAAAGGAAGCTAGATAGAGCCAGACAGTTGCTGCCAGAAAAGGGAGGGAGGACTGTCCTGACTTCATTGTTACACACAGTATCATATATTTCATGAACTGGTACATGAAAATTATTATTAACAAAAAATAAAAATAAGTATTTGAACAGATGAGAAATTGTCCTAAAGACAGAAATATTTTGTAAATACCAGCACTAGCATCTTGGCATCATCAAGCACAATCTCATAAACACCAATATGTAGAAGGCCTTCATTGTGTAGAGGATGCAAATTAATCATGAGTGAACATTTCTGGGAGTAAGTTTTGTATTATAGAGAACTCTGATGATAAAAGTTCAAAGTGTTAACATTGTGCACTATTCAACCATGTGGAATAATTTTACTGTTACTTATACATGTCATTATTTACTGATAATCACTGCAGTTGTTCATGGAACATGTATGAAGTAATTTTCTAGGTATAATCAGATATGAAATCTTTAATTTTTAATGTTTTTAGTGGTTACTAAATAGTATGTATTTGACAAACACTTTTCAATTAATGAGACATTATTTCTAAGTATAAATTTAAGAGTGTTTAAGTAACCTACTTGGTGGTGAGATTTTCAGGAAATCATAATCTTCAAAGGGAGCAAAACCAGAATTGGGTAAAAATACAGATGAAATATTTCATTGAAGAAAAAAATTAGATCACCTTTTAAAGCACCCTAGAAGTGTATCAAAATGGTTTCTATTATGGATAATGTACTTTAATAACCATTGTTCAAATAATCAACATATTGGTACAATAACTTAAAATTTAATTATTTGATTCATTAATTTAGCAAATATTATCATTAGCTCTGGAATATCATTTTGGATTTGAAATCAGGAGGTGAGATGGACGACCAGGATTTTATTCAGCCGCCTATAACTCCAGTCCCAGGTGAATATTACACCCTCTTCTGACCTCTGTGTGCATTGCATGACATGGGTGCATTTACACACATGGAGGCCATACACAAAAACACATAAAATAAAAATAATACATAATGTTGTTATGTTTGAAAAATACAAAAACTCAATAAAATATAAAAGTTAATAAATAATATTTAAGAATCATGCAAACAGGGAGATAAACCATTAGAGTTGTGGATTTTAAATTTTAGTCAAGAAAACTGTATGAACTAATGAAAAAAATCTAACAGATTCACTAGGTGAGGAATGATAGGATTACGAAGAGGTATGCAAGGTGAGGAGACAGTTTACTTGGTGAGTGGAGAGGGACTGCTTTATAAAGGTGATGAAGGAAGGACCTTCTGACAGGCTGACACTTAAGCACAGACCTAAATGTAAGTCAGTCCACTCCACGGAGACCACAGAGCAGGTTCAAAGGTCCTGCCTGGAGTTGTGATGAAACAAACAAAAAAAATCAGTGAAAGACATATGCAAAAACTACAGGAGTGACAGGAAGAAATAAACGTCAAGTAAAGTGATAGACTAGTAAAGTGGGACTGTCTGAGAGGCCAGGGTAACAGTGAGAAAAGGTACAGGGAGAGGAGTGTGAAGAGCAGTGAATGGGAACAACATGCATTGTACACATCTGAAAAGTCATAGTGAACCCCAGTATTTTGTACAAATTATGCATACTCATATAAGTGGATGGTCATCAGGAAAAGTAAAAAAGTTCACAAAATATAGTGTACAGCATTATATTTGTGAGTGTTCAAAATAGTGTGAAAGTTGGTAGTCAAGGCAAATACATTAAATAATGTATTTCTTAAATTTTTTTCTGTTACTCTTGCTATTTCATTCTTTGAAATTTCCAATGTGAACATGTAGCTTCTATAAAATTAACCAGTTAAGAATGAAATACTAATTTGTTTATGATGCAATATTTATGAATCCCTAGATATAATGTGCCAATTTAGATAGCAACTGGTTTCATCTGAAAGCATGACATTCACTTCAAATTAGAACTGTGAAGATACAGAAATAAGTGACCAAACTATATTAGACATAAATCAATCTTTAAATACCTAATTTAATTACTAATTTTTATTAAAGATTAGCTACATTCCATTTATGCCAATTCTGGAGACAATTAAGCAAACTTGTGAAGAAGTAAATTTATCACTTTAGAAACTTAACTTTTGGAGGATACTAAATAGGATTCAGAACAAGAAGCAGTTAAAGACTTGAAGCTAGAATATTTTTCATCCCACGATGCTAAAATTAAAATCTTAAAGATGATTTCAAACCCAAAATAAACTTTTTGAATGCACTTTTAACCTCCTTGTTCCTGAGGCTGTAAACCAGAGGATTCAGCATGGGGATGACCATGGTGTAGACCACAGATGCAATTTTATCAGTGTCCATGGAGTGACTGGAGCCAGGCTGTAGGTACATGAACATAACAGTCCCATAGAAAATGGAGACTGCAGTGATGTGGGACCCACAGGTGGACAAAGCTTTCTGGTAGCCTGTTGCTGAGCGCATCTTTAGAATAGTGATGAATACCAATAGGTACGACGTTGAAATTACTACAATGGCAAAAAAGACATTGAAAGTGGATACATAAACAAGAAACAGCTCATTAACATGTCTATCAGAGCAAGACAGAGCCATGACTACTGGGATATCACAGAAAAAGTGATGGACCACATTGGATGCACAGAAAGAGAGACTGAATGTTTCACCAGTGAGGATGGCAGCATTCAGGAAACCACTGGCATGACAGCCCATGATCAGACATGCACACACAGTTGGAGTCATGGTGGTGGCATAATGCAAAGGTTTACACACTGCTGCATAGCGATCGTAGGCCATTGCAGCTAAGAGGTAATTTTCCACTGTGGCAAATGTTGTGAAAAAGAACATCTGAGCAGCACACGCATTGTAGGAGATAAGCATTTCTCCTATAAGGAGCCCAGCCATGACTGTGGAACTGACAACTGAGGAGTAGGCAAAGTCCACAAGAGACAGGTTACTGAGGAAAAAGTACATGGGAGTGTGGAGCCGAGAGTCCCAGAGAATAAGCACAGTCATCCCCAGGTTTCCAACCACAGTCATGGAGTAGATGAGAGTGATTAAGACAAAGAGAGGGACCTGCAGTTCTGGGGAATTGGTTAGTCCAAGGAGGATGAACTCTGTCACCTCTGTCCTGTTTTCCATCAGTGTTATTTGGGGATCAGGAGATGCTCTTCAATGAAAAGAAACAATGTTAATAAATGTTGCAGAACAGACATTGTCCTAAAATTGAAATGCTTATATAATAATGGTAATAAATGTTATATAGTAGTAATATTAATAAATGTTGCAAGACAAACTCTGTCCTTAATTTGAAATACTTGTATATCTTATGCATGATTTTCATTAAAGCAGTAATATCTATTTCATGTTCCTTTTCGTATTCGACTTAACCACACAGTTTAAGTCATTGATTTTTTCAGGGTTAAATAACAGTAATTCTCAAATTAGAAATATCCTCACAGATTATCTCCCCAGTTTTCAAATTTTGTGTAATATTGAGTACAATTTTGTAAATTTTATGAGCTATCCAACATAAAATGTAGACAATTACACATAATTGCATGTAAGTGTATATAATTATCATCCAATACTTTTGCTGTTGTTCTAATATGTTGTTATAGTATGAATTTTGTGTTTTCTTTCATTTAAATTGTGAGCCATAACTTACTTTATTTTTATATTTATTCATGTGTGTATAAATGTTAACAGCAAACCAATCAGATCCAAAGACTTTACCAAATAAAATATGATCATGTATGGATTACATTGTTTTAGCTCAACTTACTTTTTGTGTTGATTGGTCTAAACTCAGGTTTGGGTTTCAGAGTGAAAAAACTGTGAGATATCTAGTGGAATCAGGATAAATGGGCTCTTGAAATTCATATATATAGCTTACATAGAAAGAGTCTCAACTTCTCATATGAATTCATTTTTCCCAATACAAACTCTCTGTATACAAACTATTGAATTTGTGGAATGTCCATAGTTTATGAATTGACTTTAATCTACAGATTATTTCTGTGGAAAACTCCATATTGTAAACATGTATTAAAATATCACATTGAACCAACAATTACACAACTTTGTCACAAAATGAAATTTTAAAAATTAAAAATTCATTTCAATACATCTTAAGTAAGAACAGTATTTTAATAATTTTTGCTTAAATAAGAAGTCTTTGGATGGTAACTGTCCAAAATGAAATGCTCCCTACCATCTTACTAATAAAAATTTACAAACCAACTCTCTGAAGGCATTATATTTGCCAAGTTGATACACATAAGCTCTCAGCTTTTACTTGGTACTTTGCAGTAGCAATGATAAGGGAGCTATACATAAGTGTGTGAGCATTCCTCTCTCTCTCTCTCTCTCTCTCTCTCTCTCTTTCACTCTCTGTGTGTATGATACACTTGTACATATTATTTTTATTTTACTATTAAGGCAAATGAGAACTTTGGAAGTTTTACAATGTCCTACAATTACATATCCAAAATGAGGAAGAGCCAAGTTTTGAACTCAGTTTGCACTTAATCTGCAGCCTGAGCTTTTAGCTACAAAACTGTCAGAATGTACAGATGTGCTAACGCATTAAGGATAAAGGAATTGGGAAAGCAGTAAAGAAAATTTGGAACTTTCAAGTTTTCATTTGATTCTTCTGTAGCTCAAATAGAGTTCTTTCTGTTTGATTTTTAAATTTATCTCCAATGATAAACTAACAAGATGAAGCCTCTGCCTAATAAGGCAGATTACTACGTATACTATGGTTTCTGACAAATGTTCTTATCAAAATGCTAATTCCTAAGAAATATGCACCTCCCTACTGATGCAATTTTTGACATTTACACCTATGTTTCCCCTCAGTCATTTTTAATTTTTAATTTGTGTGTGTGTGTGTGTGTGTCTGTGTGTGTGTGTGTGTGTGTGTGTGTGTGTACTGCATCTCTGTAAGTACCTGTGAAGCCCAGAGAAGGATATCAGATCCCCTGTACTTGGAGTTACAGGAAGGTGTGAGCTGCCCAATGTACTGGGAAATGGGTCCTTTGAAGAAGAGCAAATGTTATTAACTGAACCTTTCCTCCAGCCCCTCACCTCAGTCTTTAAGGAAAGGTTTCAGGTGCTGGAGAGATGGCTCAACAGTTAAGGGCACTGGGTACTCTTGCAGATGACCTGGGTTCAGTTCTCAGCACCCACATATTGGCTAACAACCTTCTATAACTACAGTTCCAGGAGATCCAAGACCTTCTGATCTATATGGACACTCCACATACATGCAGGAAAAACATTCATACACATAAAATTATAATAAATAAATCTAAAATGGAAAGTTTTTAAAGTGTCTGTTTTTTTCCTTCACAGTAAGTACAGCTGCTCCTGAACTTTTGCATGAATTAAAATTTTGAGAAATTATATATTCAACTATATATTGAACGTAGAAACTTAACTTGTTCCTTGAAAATATGCAGTAGTACTCAGAAGGGAGCTTGAAGTCAGAAATTAAGCCATAGATTAGGCATCAATTAGTTCTTAGAAGAGTTCCTCTATCTGTTGTAGTGATCAGTGGTTACAAGGATCCATAGTCCAAAAGGAAGGTCTTTGGAAGAGTTATTTATTTCCTCTTCAACCACAAAATAAACATAAGTTTATTTCTTCTGGATCATTCACAGAATAAAGTGAATAAATATTCAGTAGCCATTACTGTGAAAATTAAACAAATGTATAAGTTATTATCATTTTGAAAGTTGAAGGCTTATAGGAAATCTTCAGTATTCAGAAGAATAGAGGATGGTCAAGAGACTAGGGTTGAAGCCTGTTTCTGAAATAAGAATTCACCCAGAGTCGTGTTGAGTTTGATGAGTTACAGTGCAGGAGCCAGGAGAACATTATGAAGAAATGTGGCCCTCATGGGATGCCGTCCCATAAGATCACTCACAGCTCCTCTTCTTTTCCTCCTGGGGAAGAAACAAATTGCCTTTGGGGACCAAGTAGGATGTTTTGAGTATGTGCATGTGTTTTGTAAGTTACTAATAGATGTATCTATATGACAATTCTCTAAATTTCCATAACTTCTTTCCTCAGCTTTTTGTGGTCAACTTGTTCTCCCATGTTGTCAGCTAGCAACTTGTAAACAACAACAAAAACAAAATTTCCACATCCTTTTCTTAGCATAAAAGTCTTTCACTAGAATTCTAGAACACATGGTCTTGGACTATGTCATTTTTACTTAGCATAAATGAGCTAGGTTCACCCCTTTAGTTATGAATACTGCAGTGAAGTATTCTTCACTCTTTTCATTATGGACTTATATTCTTCAGTATCTTCTAATGCTTTTCCATTTCCTGGATCAGGACCATATTTGCAGATTCCAGTGTGTAATAGTTGTGATCGACTTGACTCTAATTATTGGTTAGTATTTTTTTCTGTAAACCAAGGTTTTAATTTCATTTGACTAAATCCCTAGGAATTGTACTGCTGTCTCTTATATGAAGTAAGCTTCACTGAGTATAAGCTCCCAAAGTATGTATGAAAATGGTGGTATCTTTCTATTTCCTCCAAATGAATTAAACTTCTTGAGCAACAAAGACTTCTTTTATATATAATTTGTTTTATTTTGCTTCGGTTTCCTGTTTCCCATATATTTTATAAAATTATATTGAGTATGTGGTATATTATTTTCATTTATTTATTATTTGTTTTATTTTTATTGACAGATTTAAAAGTGCACATATGAGGAGACATAATTGGATTAGTCGGCTATTGAAAAAAGAAACAGGGCTGTGTGTGGTGACACCCAGCACTCCAGATGTAGAAGCAGAAAAGTGTGAATCTCTTGACATTGAGGCCATCCTTACCTATATAAAGAGTTCTAGGCCAGGTGGAGCTACAAGGTTACCTTGTCATGGAAGAAAGTTAACGAAAGAAAGAAAGAAAGAAAGAAAGAAAGAAAGAAAGAAAGAAAGAAAGAAAGAAAAAGAGGGAAGGAAGAAAGGAAGGAAGGGAGGGAAGGAGGGAGGGAGGGAGGGAGGGAGGCAGGGAGAGAGGGAGGGAGGGAAGATGGATGAAGGTCAGAGGAGACCATGTATGTTAGGGGATTTGGCAGGAGTTAGAGGAGGGAAATGGGAAGGGTGGATATGATTATGTTTCACAGTACACATGTACGGAATTCTTGAGAATAAAGTAAAAATATAATTAAAACTTGAATACTTTTATGAGTTACAGTGAAATGAACTGAACATTTATATGTTGTGTATATCTGAGTTCAGATATTTAAATTAGTTATCATCTCAGACATTTATCTCCTCCTTGTAAAGAAAATATTCAGAATCTTATCACCTACTAATCTAAATTATATAAGGCAATATAAACATAATCATCTTTTGTGTAGTAGATATTCCCTGTTTTATAAAAATTTATCAGTTTTTTCACAAAATCTTTACAAAAATATAAAACTAAGCACAGCCATCAATTTGTACCCCATTTAAAGCCTGTACTTTTTTCCATAAAAAAACTGTCTTGCTCTATCACCTACAGTCTACTATGAATGCTTAAGTTCAGCTGATGTATCACACCTTAACATACCACACATGCAGAGTGGTTACAGTTTTGCTCTGTAAGCTAAAGAGGCCCTATCTGATACCAGCTACTATAATAAAATTATAGCTCAAAGGAAAAGCATAGTATTTTCTCATCATTTTTATAAGGTCAAGAATATTACTAGACCACCTACATATAATCCAGAGAACAATTTCTGGTAGATATGAAGTATTCCATAAAATTCAGTCTAATATTGTAATTTTATATACTGTGATGTAACATGAATAGCATAGGTAAAAAAAATAGTGGAGTTCAAACCTCCTGTTTATCTACTAATGCCTGTCTCAACACAGATAAGCAAGTATGAAATCACTAAAGACAGTGAACTCTGGGCACAGTTGCTGTGTCCATTCTGGGGGTGGGGATTGAAGGACATGCATTGCACTGTGTTGATATGTCTCCTGACACAGATATTGATGAGGTTTCATGTTTTTGCAGGGGAAGCTGTAGATCATAATTCCTCATTATCTTGTCTTTGAATGATGTCTTAAGGAGAGTCTCCTACTTTGCCAGACAGTCTGTGCCAAACTTTAATATCTTGTTTCCAAAATAGG